TTAAAAAATCAACTGATTTAAATCGACCTGATTTAAATCAACCCAACCCTGGTTTTCAATTATGAAAAAAAAGTAAATTGAGAACTGTATTATTTTACAGTGACAGGGGGGAAAGCAGACTTTTAAGCATGATTATATTAGTCTACTAAACCTTATTTTGTTTAATAAAACCAAGGAAAGGAATTCTGAATGTTTAAATATGTAAAACTGAATACATGTTTTTGAAAAGTGATTTAAATCACTGATTTTTATTTAAAAAATCAAGTTGACTAAAATGTAAAAAATCAACTGATTTAAATCAACCCAGCTCTGATTTCAATTATGGAAAACAAAGTAAATTGAATACTGTATTATTTTACAATGAAAGGGGGGAAAGCAGACTTTTAAGTATGAATATATTAGTCTACTAAACCTTGTATCTGTTTTATGAAACCAAGGAAAGGGATTCTGAATGTTGAAATGTGTAAAAACAGAATAAAAATAATTTTTTTAAAAAGTGATTTAAATCACTGATTTTTATTTTTAAAAATCAAGTTGATTTAAATTTTAAAAATCAACTGATTTAAATCAACCCAACCCTGCACTCCATTTGCAAATTATCAACAAATCTCGAGAATGGAAACCGTTAGGAGAAATAGCTAGGGTTCAAGTTTATTTTCCCGAGTGTTCGGAAAAATAGAGCCGGCCCTAGCCTTAACTTAAGCGGCCTTAACAATAGGGAGTGTATACAGACCCGGTAACCGGGAACAAAGTCACAAAGTATACAGACCCGGTACAGGAACTCTTTTGTGATTTCGGAAAGTTTCAGTGCCCTCTTGGCTCAGGTAGACCCATAGACCTAGGTCTAGATCTAGACAGACAGACATAAATCATTGATCTAGTTTCGAGGCTAGCCTACATCTAGATCTAAATGAAGATTGCGGATGTCTTTCCGATGAACAATCGTTTTTCCTCCATTTTGAAGTTGGAGGAATCACAATTTGAAGAAAAGAACAATGTCACAATATAAATCGAGCAGTCACCCTCTCTATTTCTCTGCCTCTCTCTCTCTCTCTCCTCTGTCTCTATGTATCGCTCACATTCTCTTTTTCCTTGTTTATCTCTGTCTTTCTTTCTCCCCACCTATTTCCCACTCTATCTTTCTCTCGTTCCCTCCTGCCAACTGGGGTATGTCATACATTTTGCTAGCATAGCACTTTCCCCCCCCCCCCCCCTCTCTCTCTCTCACTCTCTCACACACACACTACCGGGTCTGGGCGCTGAAACTTTCCGAAATCACAAAAGAGTTCCCCTACCGGGTCTGTATACTTTGTGACTTAGTTCCCGGTTACCGGGTCTGTATACACTTCGTTAACAATATAACAATAGGCCGTCGTTATTCGGACTCGAGTCCGAATAAAAAAATTTCTTATTCGGACTCGAGTCCGAATATGAAAAAATGTTATTCGGACTCGGGTCCCGAAAAAAGGAAGTGTCTTCGTTCTATAGATCTAACGTTCAGTGCTTCCAATTTTCCGCCATTTTTTAGTTTCCCTCACACCTTATCTGCCGATCCAATGCCCGCCGCCTCATTAATACGCACCCCCCCCCCCCCCCACCCCACGTTTCCCACTTTGTTGTAGAAAAAGGTAAAATTGAAGATTAGCAGACCATCTGGCACCTGCATATAATGAGCTGTGTAAAAAAAAAAAGGCCGGCACTATTTCTCCGAACATTCGGGAAAATAAAGCTGGGCACTATTTCTCCGAACGTTCGGGAAAATAAAGCTAGGCACTATTTCTCCGAACACTCTGAAATCTCATCCTTTCCCGCAAATTTTGGATATTATAAAGATCTATAATTAAAGTATAAGCCTACCAAAGATTGTTCGTTTACAATGTGGTTCGATCGGTCCAAAAAATGTCCGCAGTAAATATTTATATAAAGAAATGCTACAACTCCAAACAGTTTTTCGCTACAGATATATGACGTGTTGCCTATGAAGGGTGCTGCTCTTAAACGTAATGTGTTGTGTTCACTCGTGTGCTGTCTAGATCTAGATCTAGATCTACGGAGGGTTATTGATAACGACACATAGAACTGGCATCTGCGTTTGTCACTGCTGCGACCAATGTACTGACACTGGCAAGCCCCTTAAGGTGTGTTATTCCATAATTTACATGTAGGCTAATATCCTGTACTTTAAAAAAAAAAATTACGCACATTTAGGGTTAAAACAGCAAATTTTCTTCGGACAGGTGGACACACGCCCTTATTTGTTAATGTTTGTTGTTGTTTGTGGGCTGTTCTAATTTTGATTTCATTCTGTTGTGAAACCTTTCTTTTTCACGTTTTTACACTCATCTAAAAATCTCTAGACTAGCTCTTGAAAATTAAATAGATAAAGACCCAAAAATTTGCTCCTCTGTGTGTGTGTGTGTGTGTGTGTGTGTGTGTGTGTGTGTGTGTGCATGCGTGCGTGTATGAGTGTGTCTGTGTGTGGTTGTAAGTGGAGAGTGAGGAGTGTGTGTGTGTGTGTGTTTGTTTTTCGGGCTTTATTTCAGCCTTTATTCAGTAACAGTTCAAAGTATACAAAAATAGAAACACAAGATCCATTCACTCCATGGCTCATGAGTCGTTCGTCTCTTTCAGTTTCACTCATTCATTTAATTCCCCTGTTCTCTCCCGCGGCTCATCCCCGTCCGCATGACTTTCATACCCCACCCCCTCCCTCCAGGCACACACAAAGAAAATCTCACTCATTCCCTTGCACCATGCGAACCATGGACAATAATAGGCAAAACACTGCCTGAGCTGCATTCCTTTCGTTTGTGAGCTGTGGACCAGGCCAGGGAGGTCGGTGTCGTCGTCTTGTAGTTGCTGTCGCCTGTGGATACACTCGCACATTCTTCCTTTCACCCGCTCTTTCACTCACACTGTCTCTCCATCCACAGCTCAGCTCGTCATACGTTCAAAAGTTGCCCACTGGTCATGTTTAGTTAGTGTGTGTACATGTGCATGATGGTGGTGGGTGTGTGGTGGGTGCTACTGAAGGTTGTCTGTAGGCGGGCTTGCCATGCGGTGCTCCTTCCCAGACCAGAGGCAGAATGAAAGTTGGCGCCGAACTCTCGCAATAAATAGGCCAAAAATCACGAGACCGGAAGCCGGAAACCGTTCGGAGAAATAAAGATCGGCACTATTTCTCCGAACGTTCGGAGAAATAGTCACTTCGAAAAAAAAAAGACCGATTCGTTCAAATACACAAGCCTATCGATTGTTTACCAAGAAAAAGTTGTGTTGCTGTGTAGAGCTGAGCATATGGCAACTTTTGATTCCATAGACCAGCGCAAAATACGTAGATCTACGTCAAGACTAGCTTATTATTGTAATAATGATCAGTTGCCGGGGGGGAAAAGACTGACGCGTATGCGACGTTCAAAGCCCGGACCGATAGTGCCCTCCCCGACACGCACACAGCCACACGTGTGCAGGTCGCCCATACGACCCCGACACACGCTAACGAGCCATCTTTAATTGCTTCTGATGACCTCTTGACAAATAAACATTTATTAGAAGCGCTATAACTTTTCAGGCCGGCCTCAAATTCATCATAAGATTAAAACTCGGCTCCTGCACAAAACAGTGGCTATTCTCATCCGGGGTGAGAATAGAAAAACGATCTACCTCTCATCCCGGGTGAGACTTGCCAGCGTAGGCTATTCTCACCCGGTGCGAAACAAGACCTGCTTTTCCTCATTTTGGAATACTGTCTGTCGGTGTGGATGATCAAATTGATAAAAGCCAAGAAAAAATTACGTTGTAGCACAAAAGTAAGCTAATTTGATCGTCTTCAAAGATGCTATGGCTATTTCACTGTTCGAATCGAGCTGAACTACGCGGGTCGACATTTTGTTTTGCCCGTAAGTTCTCGCAATATCTACTCCTCCCCTCTCTCTCTCTCTGTGTGTCTCTTTCTGAATACTGTCTATTGGTGTGGACGATCAAATCGACCAAAACAAAGTTAAAAAATGATGTTAAAACACAAAAGTAAATTAATTTGGTTGCCTACAAAGATGCTACGGCTATTTAACTTTTCGAATCGAGCCGAACTACGCGGGTCGCCATTTTGTTTTGACCGGAAGTTCTCGCGCTACTCCTCTCTCTCTCTTTCTCTCTCTCTCTCTCCACTGCCCACAGACAAAATTGTACGCTTTTAGTAGGCTACAGTTGTAATGGAACGTTTGTTCACGGCACAGAATTCTAAAATTTTTCTGTTATCACAGTGTAGAATTCTGTGGTTTAGGGTGAACGCAAAATTTGTTGGCCTAGATCTAGGCTATAACGCTGAACGCGCACCGGGTGAGAATAGCCAAAAGACTCGCCTGCACTATTCTCATCCCGGGTGAGAATAGAGGTGGCCTTTGCCCGAAGTGATACCGGTCTCTACCCAGCCTGAGGCGAGTCACGAGTGAGGCAGGACAGGAAGCCGGATTCACGAGTCACAGGAAGTCGGAAGTGATGTCATGCTGGACAAGAATCAGAGTCCGAATAACATTTTTTCACATTCGGACTCGAGTCCGAATAATCACTTCGATAACAATAACACGTCACAAAACCATAGATCTAGATCTAGCACCATTATTTAGGTCTGCAAGCTAAATAGTACATTAATTTCTTACTTTTGAAGAAAGAGTGCCAGCAAATGACAGGACACTCTCTATTTCCTGAACAGCATCCTCAGTATCCGCATTGCCATCGTTCTTTTCGTCTACCGACGATGTGATCGATTGTCGCTGTCGTTTGCAAGACAATCTCAACGCCTCAGCTGGATCTTCATTTCGTCGCCGTTTTACTCTGATAACAGAAGCCATGGCAGCACTAAAACAGTTATGCAGTGTGGATTACTTCAAAAAGTAAAACAAATCACATGTTTTGTCACGATTAGCTTGGACAATGACTCACGGCGATATCATAATAATGCGACTCATTCTAAATTTATGCGGCGTCTGTGTTTTGGCTCGGGGAAGAATCGAGTACGACGAGAGTTATCTCTCCCGTACTTCCGTTCTTTGTGTTGCGGTGCTGATTTAGACATGATACCCCAACATTAGCACCGTCGTCGCTGGGAGTGCCGTTTTCATCTTTAAAAGGTGCACAGACTAATTAATAGATTTACCTTAATTGTATTTGGTAGACAGAGGAAAGGAACACCCCAAAGATTAATTGATACAGCCGTTACAGATGAATGGAGAAGGACAGAATGTCTTTAAAATGTATTGAGGTGTCATAACGATATATTCGTCCCTAATTAATTTAAGTTAAAAAAGGGGGAAAACGCAAGATGATTTGCCTTGTGAAATACTATACATTCTCTATCTATCTATATACCCCCCTCCCCGCCCAAGGATATGTCTCCGGCGTTCACTATAATAATTGTAATTGAGACTAAAAGTTAAAGAATATAAAACGAATAGATCTAATGGAGGAAAATCATTTTGCTTATACTGCTGGAACTGCAATACTACTGACAAGTGGTTGGTAACACACTTATTTAAATAAAAAGGTAGATTACTAATATTGATAGATTGGGGAAATAAAAAAGGGTGCAAACTGGGCTGAGTCGCTGATGTTAGGCTAATAGGTGATTAATATTAAATACTATTGCTTACAATACATCATTGCTGCAGTCTGGCTTGTTGGTTGTAGAAGCATTCTTGAACGGAAGACGTACTTAAAATTTTTATTATAGAAATGAAATTTTATTTATTTATGTTAATTATGCCTCCTTCTCTAAAATCTATGAAATAGACTCTGAATTATGTAGTAAGATCTACCAGATCTGGAAAATACACATTTTTCTGTCCTTTATCCATCTGATTAATTAAGTTATCCCAAATTAGTTGTTTTTGGTCTACCTCAGTCATTTCTGCTATCTATTTTTCAAGTGTCTTTTTGTCAATTCATGTGTACGTGTTCCAGAGAGAAACTGCATCTTGAACATCTCAGTGAAATATGAAAATCGCCATTTCGAAGTTTAATGGCCAAAACCAGTACTTTAAGGTAGCCTTTCGGTTAATAAAGGGGGGTGAAGGG